CATTAAAACAATTAAAAATAAAACAAGACGTCTTTCCTCATCCAAAAAGCTTTGCCATCCAGCACATTTTCCCATACAAATGCTTATGAAATATGCGATTTTCTATAATGAAGAGATAGAAAACGAACGCGCGTGCTATGGTGAGTTATACAAGCCCTTGGGAAGTTCGGGTGGTTGCTTAACCACTCAAAAAACTTGGAAGGTTGCTTAAGCACTCAAAAAAGCTAGAGTTGCACTCCGCTTCGCGTCGTGCAACTCTTACGCTTTTCTTCGTGCTTACCAACCTCCCGCATGCATCCATAATTGGAAGGACGCACGCTACTTATGATCCATTCCTTAAATATTCAATGGCATTTCTCCTATAGTCAACAATATTTTTAAAACGTCGACTTCTTACTAATATCGGGGTGCTCTTTCTATTTCCGGTGTTCAATTTGACACAACGTCTCTTTTTACGGGCCTATTGTTAATTAATAATTTCTCGTCGAAGGCGAAGTGAATATTGGGGAATAATAACCGAAACGAAGTAGAGGCGTCCAGGGCCAAATGCAAGGAAATAATAAGGTGTCAATGCAAAGTATTCACTTTTTCACTTGTTCTGTCTTTCTTTTCTTCTTGCATTCAGGATAGCGAAAATTTTGCATCATCAATTTATGAGAAAAAAACTGCAAATTTGTAAATTTGGCTCTGGATGCTTCGTTTTCAACTGGCCGTGCGCCATTTTGAATTTGAGTGTATGCAACCCGTAAAGTCCTCTACCGATCTTGTAAAGCGCCATTGAGCTCCTGGAAATGGCGCTACATAAATTCATCCCTTTACCTTTAACTTTTTGTCCTGGGCCTATGGGCACAGTACATTTGTTTTTGGTGAAATAGGTATGATCGGAATTTAGTGTTACAAATGCCATTGGTGGACCTCGTCATGATTGACATTGGTGAAACACGAGGTGAAAATGCACGTTGAGATCTGTAAGATCGGGACACGGAGGAGTTGAAAGAGGTTGAACATATGTGGTTTTCGTGGTAAGAGTGTCTTAATCCAACTTACTTTAAACTTAATTTGGTAGTATTCTAAGCAGATAATTAGAAACTGGAGCTAAATTAGAAACTTTAAGTGCGATTTTTGTTTTTTGATACAGCGCGAATTAGTTACGTAAACAAAAGATTGTAAATGGACAGGCCAGGAATTTCTACTGCGTCATTGATGTAAAATAGTACTCGCACGAGTTTTATATTATTTTGTTAGCAATAAAAATGATATTTGGCTTGAATATTTTTATGACAAAAACGTATTTTATGCCGTAAGCTTGAATGGGGGCGGGCCATGAATTTCTACTGCGTCATTGATCTAAAATAGTACTATTGGTATTTACTAAAACAAGGAACTACCTAAAACGACCTGAAACCACCTAAAACGACCTGAAACGACCTGAAACCATCTTGAAACCACCTGAAACCAGCCAAAACATTGAATCTCAATCGAGTTTGTCGTCCAGTTTGTGTATTTTATTGACTTTTATCGATCGATCGAGTGTTTGTTTTCCTTGGAAGGGATGTACTTCATGGTAGAATGTCATATAGTCGCCACGTATACTCTCCCATAGAAGTATTCCACATTTATACCTCACCTCTCCCTCGCTACGATTACCTGTTCCTAGCTATGATCAACCGTCCCTACCTATGATCAACTGTTCCTAGCTATGATCAACCGTCCCTACCTATGAATAACTGTTCCTACCTGTGATCAACTGTCACTAGCAATGATCAACGTA